GGATGCTCACTGTTAGAATCCAGCCAGTGTATCATGAGGAAATGCAAGCAGTCAATGGAGAGGAAACAAGTCTCCCAGCCCACAGCCTCAGCCAAGCTCTCAGTTTATAGCTAACACCAAATTGTCAGCCAAGTGAGCGAAAGTGGTTCCTCTGCCCCTCAGTGTAGAAGCCACAGCTCATGCTATGTGGTACAGACAAGTTGTTCCTGCCAAATGAACCCTGCCAGACTAGCAGATTTGGGAGCAATATAAAAGACTGATGTTACTTTAAGCAGCAAGTTTTTAGGTATTCTGTTATGGCAATAGATCACTGATACAGACATCATCTCCTTTATAACATCTGTCTCAAGCTCCTACGCAGGGTTAATATGTAACATTATCTTATCGCTTATTATATTCTACTGAAATTAACTGTTTACTTGTCTGCCTCCATGTGAGCTCAAGGGCAGAGTCTATGCCATTTTTGGAAACGTATCTCCTCAAGTATTAATTCTACCCATTCTCTCTCTCCTCTCTTCTTGGAACTTTAGACAATGAGAACTTCTCAGTGTCTCCTCCAAGTTGCTTAGCTTCTCTTTGATATTTTTCATCTCTTTGTCTCTCGGTGCAACATTCTGGAAAACTTCTTCTGATCCATTTTCCAGCTCTCTAAATCTCTTCTCAGCTGAATCTAATGTGCTGTTTTACCATCCACTGAGCTTTCGATTTTGTTTTGTTTTCATTTCTAGAAGTTTTGTTTTTAACCCCTCAAATACATTAGGTCATTTTTATAGTTTATATTCCTGAGATATCTTCAAGTTTATCTTTTATTTATAATAAGCATGGTTGTTTTATAATATGCATCTGTTAATTCCAGTAACTGAAGTCTTTTCAGGTATGAATATGTTCTTTCTTCTTTCTGTTGATTCTCATTTGAGGATTCTTTTCTTTGTGGGCTTTATTATTGTAAACAGCTCATTTTGTTTATAGTAAGTATGTATGTATACTTGGAGCCCTTACTATACATACTTAAGTATTTACAGTAATTATTTGGGGCCTAGCAAGAGATTATATTCCTCTTTGGAGGGGTTGAGGAGCCCTGGTGGTGCAGTGGTTAAGTGCTCGTCTGCTGACCGAAAGGTTAACGGTTCAAACCCACCAGCCACTCCGAGGGAGGAAGATGTGGCAGCCTGTTCCTGTGAAGATTTACAGCCTTGGAAACCCTATGGGGCAGTTCTACTCCGTTCCATAAGGTTGCTTTGAGTCTTAATCAACTCAACAGCAACAAGTTTGGTTGTTGTTGTTTGGTTTACGGAGGGGTTACATTTGCTTCTGCTTCATGCTGAGGGTATTACTTTAAACTAAATTTATGAACTGAAGCTTTCTGGATTATCGGGGTGATGTGAATTTTGGGTGAAAATCTGTGTGAGGGCCAGTTTGTGTTAATAACTTCTCAGGAATCTGCCCCCTCCCCACCATGTTCTGCTCACAACAAAGCATCTGTCCTTGCAGTCCCCTTAAGATGGGGAGTATGGGGCAGGATTACTTCTGATTACTGTGAGGATATAGCCCTTGGAGTCCCAGCTTTATGGAGAAAGGATTTCTTATTAGATTCCCTAATTTGGGCAGGCACAGAGATTTGTTTTCTGTACCCAAACTCACAGAGGCCTTGAGCACCAAAGTTTAAGCAGCAGGTTCAGTAAATTAAATTTCCCCAGGACAAAAGTGTTTTAGTGCTCCACTGGCTTCCCACCATCACATTGTTTTGACCTGATTATTTATTACTAACCTACTAACAAAAAGAAGTTCCTAATTTAAATATTATTGAATGTTTACAATTTTCCTGTCAGTTTTTAATGCTTTTAAGAACTGTTTTCTTTTCTAATTTTTATCTAGAATTTTTATTTGTTTTCAGCGGGATGGCTGATCTGAGTCTTATTACCTAGGCCCATGTCTTTTTTATCCCTGTATCCTCAGTATTCACAACAGTGCCTGGCATATGCAGGAACTTAACTAGTTTTTGATGGCTTAATGAATAAATGTCTTCTTCCACTCTTTCATTCCTGCCTAGTTCAGTTCTTACTTCTACCACCCCTGATACACCCCTCTCTTTAGAACTTTTCTTACAACTTTTTGCAGCACTGGTTGACCACCCATTTGAAACTTTCTCGCTTGTTAAGCTTTCACGTTACTACCTAGTATTCTTTCTTACAGCCAACAGTGAAGCAAATTTGATAGTAGTCAAAAACCCATGTTCGATTCCAGGCCCCCCCCCATTTGTTGATTATATAAGACATTTAGCTCCAATCTCCTTATTAGCAAAACAGGATTAATAATGTCTTGCCTTATTCACTACTTTGTAATGCAAATAAATAAAATAATGTATTTGAAAATCCCAAAACAACATAAAATATTATACAAAGTAGCTAACTACTTTAACAAATTGGAAAGAGATAGGATACAGAAAAATATACAAAATGATTCTTGCTAACAAATCTGCTATGAAGTCCTGAAGGGCCCAAAGCTTTGTATTTGACCTAGAAGTTTTTTCCCTATCAAAAGCCTTCAAAGTGTCTTCACCAAGGCAGTACCACCCCATAGGGGCCCTTGGCTAGAAGTTAAAATCAAAATCCCTCTGACTTACCTGGGCTCATTTCAAACTGCAAAAATGATTATTGTGAAGGCACTGGGGACACTTTCATTTTGACAATAGAGTGAAAAATCAAAATATTAATGATACATCTTCACATATACAAGCATGCAAATTCAATTGGTCCAGTTGTGAGTAAGAAATATTACCAGTTCTTGAGGAAGGTGCTCTTGCGATTTCCAAGGAGCAAGGTTTCTTTGTAACTGCGGTGTCCGTGAGGTCACATAGGAAGTTCTCGTTTTCGGAAGGAAATGTATCAAGAGAAGCAGATGGTACAATTTCCATAGTGTAACTCCTCTTCTTTGGATAGGACTCCTGAAAAAAAGAAGAAAAAACAAAAATACCTTTGAGATACAGAGCTTGTTTGATTTATAAAAACTAGAAAAAAATGATCAGGTTTATCCCTTCTTCCCATAAAGAAGATTATTTTTTTTTTTCTAGTTTTTATTGAATATATCGTAGACTCCCAGAAGAATGAACAAATCAGTCTTGGAAGAGGTACAGCCAGAATATTCCTCAGAAGTGGGGATGGTGAGACTCTATCTTACTTACTTCGGACACATCATCAGAATGGACCAACCGCTAGAGAAGGAGATCATGCTTGGTAAAGTGGAGGTCAGCGAAAAGAGGGAGGTTCTCAATGAGATGGACTAACACAGTGTCTGCAACAATGAGCTCAAACATAGCATATGGTCATGAAGATAGCATAAACATAGCATATGATCATGAAGATGGCACAGGACCAGGTAACAATTTGTTCTGTTGTACATAAATTCACTATCAGTTGGGGCCAACTTGATGGCAACTAACAGCATCTCTTCTTCCAAAAATAATTGTGAGCTGATGATTCATCTGTTTGAATAAGTTATGTAACCCCAATATTATCAGCAATCTTTTTAGAAGGGTCCCTACAATTTGGTTCCCTGAATTTATTACTGAACTAGTAAAGTTCTTCCCTTGTCATGATCTCTCACCTTCTCTCTTTATGCCTATTTTCTAGTTTTGGAATAAACCATTGTTTAATCAATAAACAATCGATTCTGACTCATAGCCACCCTATAGGACAGAATAGAATTGCCCATAGGGTTTCCAAGGAGCAGGTGGTAGATCTGAACTGCCGACCTTTTTGTTAGCAGCCAAGCTCTTAACCATTGCACAGTCATTTCCAAAACTTTACTCCTTTGCCTGCCTCCTAGAGAAGGCCATGTGACTCCAAGTTAGATATAAGACGAAGTTTGCTGGGAGGCTTCTGGGGAAATACACTGCCTCAGAAGAGAGGCGTACAAGGAGGCTCTTCCAGAGCCCTCACCATCCACAAGTTCCTTTTTCTGGATGTACTTTTGATGTTCAGAACTGAGGCAGACATCTTGTGATCATAAGGCAATCAGCCTAAGATCAAAAAAGTAGCAAGCTGAGAATGGCAACAGAAGGATTAAAAGAGCCTAGGACCTTGATGATATCATTGAGCTGCTAGAATAGCCCTGGGATCACTTTCTACAGTCTTTTTAAGTAAATAATAAAGTTCCTATATTAAGCCACTGCTAATCGTGGAGCCCTGGTGGCGCAGTCGTTAAGAGCTACAGCTGCAGGTCAGCAGTTCAAATCCATCAGCCACTCCCTGGAAACCCTATGAGGTAGTTCTACTCTGTCCTATAGGGTCGCTATGAGTCAGAATCAACTTGACAGCAACGGGTTTAGTTTTGCTTGTTTGTTTCTTTTAATTGGGTTTTCTGTCATTTAGAATCAAAAGTATTCCCACATAGTACTTTTCTTTGTGAACATTGTTAACTAATATATTAAAGTTTTTCTTTTCAGATTAGGATAAAATTTATGCCCAATTTTATATTACTGATTCTTCAATATATTCTAAAGATTGGAATTCATTTCATTTTACAAGATCTTAATTTCTTGTACACAAGTCATTAAGTGGCTAACAAATAATTATCGGGCATGCAGTATACATCTAGGACTTTGCTAAGTTCTCTGGGGATTCTCAAAAAATGACTAAGACATAACCCTGGCTCTCAGTAGGTTCACAGTCTAGTAGAGAAGAAAGATTATATGCATAATGACTTTCAAAATCATGTTTTGTTTTTGATGCTTGTTACCCTTATGAGTATACTTCATTACAAATACAAAAAGACAAATAAGAAGAAAATAAACTCATATTTTCAAAAGATCTTCCAAGAGATATCCAAGGGTTGGTAAAGATTTAGCAGAAGCTTCCACGTTTTGATAATGATATTTACAGTGCAGTGGAATAAGTATTCAAGGTCAGTGTAATTTCATCCAGACCATACCAGACCCTCACACATCAAAGAGTCAATTATGTTTATTCTACTCTACAGAAAGCAGGAAATTGGGAGTAATTTATTTTGAACAACAAAGGGTGACATAGTAGAAAGCGTCCAGAGGAAAGCAATCAGGATGGTATATGATTTAAAAACCATGTCACAGAAGAAATAATGAAAGGAATTGCAGTGTTCCATCTTGGGGAAGACTTACAGCCATGTAATAGTTTTCTCAACATATTTGAAAAGCTATCCCTCAAAAGCTATCCCTCAAAGATGGGGAAGGGGAAGGGTGGTGGTGGTGGACTTATTCTAAAGCTCTTAAAGGCAGAACAAAGATCAATTCTTTGTAAGTCAAGAAGGGAAAATTTGGGTCAATACAAAGATATTTTCTACAAATTATTAATATTGCCTGTATTTTAAAATAAAAATGCACTAATATAATAATTAGCTAACAAATAGCACTACAAAGCAATAGGAGGAAATCCTCATTATTGGAAATCTTCTGGCAAAAGAACTATTTATGGATGAAATTATCGATGAAACATATTATACAGTGGAGATACCAAATGAAGACATATTATACAGTGAAGACACCAGATGAATGTAAACTCCATGAAGGCTGGAATTTGTCTTGTTTACCACTCTCCCCAGAATCTAATAAAGGCCCTGCCATTTAGGGATGCTCAATAAATAGTCATTGACCTACTGAATAATTCCTAATGTCTTTTCAAACAAATTTAACTACTATTAAGGAAATCATTATGCCTTTTTCAGATGTAAATTTATTTGCTTAAGTTTGGTCATTATTATTTACTCCTTTGCATATCAAAGGGGTCCTGATGGTGCAGTGGTTAGGAACTATTACTGCTACCCAAAAGGCTGGAAGTTCAGATCCACCAACTGCTCCTTGGAAACCCTACGGGACAGTTCTACTCTGTCCTATAGGATCACTATGATTTGGAATTGACTTGATGGCAAGGGGTTTGGGTTTGGGTTTGCATATCAAAAGTAAAAACAAAAAACAAACAAAAAAAACCTTAGATTACAATAATAAAATAATAAAATCTATGAAAAAAGTCTCTAAATGAAACCTAATTCATCCTAAAATTAAATTAATCAGAACAACCAATTCATCACAGATTTGGTTAAACTGGAATTTTATTGTGTTTATAAAGTAATATGAGGATATTTAAGGCCTTGAAAACTACTCTGAAGTTTAACAATACAGGATGGTTAGTTTGCT